CGACATCGAGGATCACGTCGATATTGAGAAGAGATCCCGACAGATTCCGACGGTAATGAAACTCAAGATGACGAACAACCGATCGGTTTATAACAACAGTCTGTTATGATAAAAAGCCGTGGATACATTCGATCAAATGTGTAGTGGTATATCTTGTAACAGAAAAAAGCAAAGGCGGCCACTGTGCTACCTATATGGTATGCTTAATATGGCAATCATAAACTCGTATGTTGTTTACGTACGTAATACTGTAAACAAGGGGAAAAACAGCAAGCAGACGGTGTTTCATGAAAGATGTTACAGAGAAAATGACTGAACCGTGGTTACATAAGCGTCACGAAATGCCAAATGTGAGGCGATGTCTAAAAAGGAAAATAGCAGAAGTTTTGAATGAAACGCCTACCAGCAATATGCCTGGTCCAAGTGTTACCCGAAAAAAGATTTGCAGCTTCTGTGATTACAAAAAGCGTCGATGAACGAGGTTCCAATGTAACCACTGTAAAAGATTCATGTGTATGGACCACCGTGGCCTGATGTGTCCTGAATGTTCAGAATAAATATATTTTTGTTTTATTCCATAAGTCTGTAATAGGTCAATAAAGGAGCTAAACAATACAATTATTTCTTTCATTAACAAAATCGTAAATAACCATACCTGAATATTATGTTCGTTTGTGAGACGAATGTTTATTAATAGTGTTACTCCTACATATGGTTATGAATCTAGAGTTAAACTTCATAAAGCATGTATGGAGTAAGCTTGAAAGACAAATTAAGAAAATAAATCCTATTACCATTAATTATAAAAATAGATGGGCTAAATCTTAAAAACGTCAAGCGGGTACGGGCGATAAGCTAGGTTGTGCCAGTTCTAGCAAAAATAAAAAGTCCATGTTACTTGGTTAAATGATAATAGGCATAATAGGTATCCTTTTGAAAATGTTGAAATAACACCCTAGATCACATATTTAGGTACCTACTGTCATCACAAATTTCTAAATTTTTTAGTGTTCTTTTTTAATGTAATTTGAAAACCCTAAATAAGTATGCTAATGATTGCAGTCACAAATCAAATAATTAATATTGCGAGTTTAGTACAAAAAAATAAAGTTTAATTAAGTCATGGTTAAAAACCTTTTAACACATAACTTTAAAAAAAAATGTCTTTAAAAAAATGTACTATATACTACCAACTCGCCTATACTACCATAGGCTAGTTTTTTTAAAAGATGGCCCATTTAATTAAGATTTTAAAATGGTGCAACACTTGCTACTAATCTTTCCATAAAAATATTATCACGATTATCAATAATTTAGACAAAAAATTAATATATATTATATTTAAATAAAACTCAGACAACGAAATATCAAAGTATGATAATGATGCCCAATGTATAATGGCAAAAGTTAACAATAATGAAACACTAGATAATATTGTAATACATTTATTATTTTTTAATATTAAATTAAATGTTCAAATTGTTTGCCTTCAGCACAAATACAAGCTCTGCATCGTCTCAGAAAAGATCTTTTCACTAATCGTGCGTATCTACTTGAATTTATTTCCTCTGCTGTTTCAGCTATTTTGCGGCGTAGTTCGGCTAGATTTTGTATTGGTTTCAAGTAAACTTTTTCTTTTATGCAGTCCCAGTAAAAGAAGTCAAGTGGACTTAGGTCCGGAGAACGAGGAGGTCATAAAATTGTGCAAAGGCGTCCAATCCACCTACCGGGATATTGTGTGTTTAGATGATCCCGTACTAGACGAGCGTAAGGCGCTTGGCAATCTTGTTGAAACCATATATCCCGGTAAATGTTGAGTGGTACGTCTTCTAATAAATTTGACAAATGATTTTGTAAAAAATTAAGGTAGTTGTTGCGATTTAAGTTTTCAGGCTGCTCAAATGGTCCGATTATATGTCCGTTTAAAATTCCGGTTCACATATTCACTTTAAATTGGTATTGGGAAGAGATCTTCACGCATTAAATGTGGATTTTCTATGTGCCAACCGTGTAGGTTGTGTAAGTTTAAATAACCGTCTTTTTTAAAAGTCGTTTCATCTGTCCATAAAATGTTGTTAAGAAACTGCGGATCTTCACGATTTTTCGCCAACATTGTTCTGCAAAAATCGATCCTGGGTGTGTAGTCACGAGGTAGCAAACTTTGTACTCCTTGCACATGGTACGGGTGATATTCGTATCGCTTTAAAATACGATGAACAATACTTTTCGGTATTCCAGTGTGTCTTTCAATTGCACGTACTGAAGGGGTTGGCTATAGACGTCCGGTACTTGATTTTAATTATTTTTTCAGTTTAGGAGGGTTGTCTGGGTTAAGCTTGAACCTTTTACACTGTTTTTGGATGTCGAAAATGCTATTTGAATTAATTACGATAAAAAAATTTCACTACAAATTGCTCATAACGAAATATGTCAATTTTGGTCAAGTATTATGAAGTAAATTTCGAGTAAGTACTTGATTTTAATTGTTTTCAGTTTAGGAGGTTTGTCAGGGTTAAGCTTAAAGCTTTTATACTGTTTTTGAATTTCGGAAATGTGATTTGAATTAATTTTATACGTGGTAGAGCCATACTACAGCTGTATTAGTAGTATAGTTGTAGCACGAATGGGTCGGCTCGACCGGGGAAAGACCACGCTCTCACAGAATACCAGCGTTAAATAGCAGCTTAAAACTGCTGTGTTTCGTATGGTGAGTGTAGAGAACCGGACACCCTTTTTACTAGTAAAGAGGCATTCCATCTTAGTCCTCACGGGTGACAACGCCTCTGCATTTTGATTCGCAAACGAGGATAGATGTAGATGTCTATGGGCCACAGCAACCACTTACCATCAGGTGTTCGTTTGTCACCCTATACTATAAAAAAGGTACGATTAAAATAAATTTCACTAACTCGAATACAGACAATCCATTTGTGGCTAAAGATGAGACTCATAATACACAATGAATTGAGTCGCAGTGGAGAGCAGTGCACGATATAGTCCTTATGGCGGAATCGCTGGAGGACCTAAGCACTATGCTTAATGACCTCAATAGTGGCTCCTAACGGATAGGTTTTAAGATGAACATAGACAAAACAAAGATTATGTATAACGTCACACCTATACCGGTAGTTGTTAGGAGCACTAAGCTCGAAGTTGTTGACGAGTATGTTTACCTGGGATAAATAGTCCAAATAAGTAAGTCCAACTTCGACCGAGAGGTCAATCGACGGATTCAACTCGGCTGGGCAGCGTTCGGGAAATTACGAGACATCTTCTCGTCAGGTACCTATACCTCAAAACTTGAAAACTAGACTATACAACCAGTGCGTATTGCCAGTGACTACTTATGGAACTGAGACGTGGTCCTTCACTGCTGGCCATATGAGGAAGCTCAAGGTCGCTCAGTGAGCTATGGAGAGGGCTATGCTCGGAGTTTCTCTGCGTGATAAACTTAGAAATGAGTATATCCGCAGTAGAACTAGAGTAACCGACATAGCCCAACGGATTAGTAAGCTGAAGTGGCAATGGACCGGTCATATAGCTCGAAGAACCGACAACCGATGGGGAAGAAAGGTTCTCGAGTGGCAGCCTCATACCGATAGCGAAAGTAGGGCGACCTCCCACTAGATGGAGTGACGACCTGGTAAGACATGCAGGAAGTCGATGGATGCAGGTGGCTCGGGACCGTGCTTTGTAGTATTCCTTAGGGGAGGCCTATGTTCAGCTGTGGACTTGTGAAGGGCTGTAATGATAATGATGATTTCATTCATTCATAATGCGAAAAATTTTACCAACTTTTGAACTTGAGTTTAAATTAAGGTTTTGTTAACATTTTGCCTTGACTGCATTATTTATCATGTTAATTATCACTGCAAATAAACTGAGGATGCCGTATCTAAATGTTACTTAAGTTGGTAGGACTGTAACTTTAATTGAAACTGAGCACACCTACAAACATGAGGCCCAAACATTACGAGTTTACGAGGATCAAAATCTGCTCGCAATCACGAAAATTGGAATGACGAAGCTTGACATACTATGAGATCAGATTTTGCTTGAAGCCAGATGATGGAAGAGTTAACGTGTAGAAACGCCCGGGAGAAAGGTACGCTTATTGCAAAATAATTGGAAAAGAGGCATTGGTGGAGGGTCAGTTATGGTGTGGGGAGGTATTTGTATCGGGGCACGTACTGAACTCCGGGTCATTGAGAATGAGTCACTTACAGCAGCCACGATATTGTGATTGAAATTTTGGAAGAAATCCTAGTACCATTTGCTCCTTTTACAAGGGACTAGCGGTTCACCCCGGCTTCGCACGGATGATTTCGGGATCTCTACCCACCGGGTCCAATTGTGAATCATTTATATCATCCAGGGATCCACTCAAACATACACAAAAAAGTCATCAACATCGATCGAGCCGGTTTTGAGTTTTAGCGAGACTAACAGACAGCGATTTATTTTTATATAAAGAGATTGAATTTGTTTTTAAATTTGACAATAACAACCAATTCCACAGACAAGATGTTGTTTGAAGTGGATTTAGCGATAAGCGATAGCAAAGCTAATATCTGCTGTAAAATAAGTTGATACACACGATAAAATCCGTAAAAACTAGATTTATTTAAATAAAATATTCCTTAGACTTGGCTGTATGGTAGGCTAGGCTGTATGGCAGACCTTTGTCTGCTTAATTGGCCAGTCGTAACCCATCACGGTACATGTATTCTGTGATCGTAATCAAGGAGGCTTTAAGGAGGTTATAATATAATAACCTCCTTGATCGTAACATCACAACAAAACAATCAATATTCTTTATCTATGATTTGGACAATTGATATTTGACATTGACGTTTGACGTTAAACGCCGCCTTTCAAAAGTCAAAACAGTAAGGTGATGCACGTGGATGTAGTTTTTGCGTGAATTTGAATTTAATAATACACTTAGTTATAACAATATTATAATATTACTTTGTAAGTTATAACTACAATCATTGAAAATGTTGAAAACTAAGAGAAAAAGTTCTGAAGATAACTCAGGTGCATCGAAAAAAAAGAAAGTACAATTCAATGAATCAAAAAATAACCCAAAAGAGAATGATTTTACTAAAAAAGAAAATAGGGACTATAACCAAGAAAAGAAAAAAATGAAAAACAAACTTAATGGAGATATGAAAACTAAACCACCTAAGCCTGAACTTAATAAAAAAGCAAGTAAATTTGGTGCACAATCAGGCAAGTTTATTAAAAGTAGCAAAGGAAAATTTAGTAAAGTTGGAAATGCAACAGTCAAACCAAACCTAGCAAAGGGTAAATCTACTAAGGAACAAGAGCATACCGAGAAACCAAAATGGGCTGAAATGAAAAAAGAAAAGAAAAATTTAAGACTTATTCGGCGCAAAGCAAAAGCTACTGCAGAAATATTTGAAATTTCACACAAAGCAAAACTATTATCTGCACAAATACAGAGGTATAATTATCGCTTATATGTAATATTACAAATTTAAAGGGCTTTATTATATTATTACTAGCTGATACCCACGACTCCTTTCGCGTTGCTTACACTAATCACAGAATATGTAGTGCTTATAAAAGTCATTGTTTCTAAAAACTAATAACTATATATTAAATGAAGATATCGCAAAAATTTTTTTTAGATAAGGGCCGTGTCTAAATAATAAAACTGAAAACCTAATAATTGAAATCTATCCAGTAGTTTTTCCGTGATGCGCGCACAACTGCAATCCTCTATCATTTTATTTATATAGATAAGAACTGTAGAAAGGGCTCACGTTCCAAATAGTTTTATTTCTTCTGTGTTATGTATTTTCTTAGCAAATAAGGCCTAATGATTTCTTATGTTTAAGCTAACACTACACATTTACATAAAATTAGGTTTACGTATTTTAACTAATTTTATATTCCCGATGTAACAAGTACTTTACAGCACCCATGGTTACAGGGGGAACTGAGGTTTACCAGTTTTATTTAAATGAGGGCTATTAATGTTAGGATCACCAGATGTCGCTAGTTGGGACTAAGATGAACATATATTGTCATTATTATTGAGAAGTTGCATTTTAATTATTTTGGTTTCTAGGGTATGTATATAAGTTATGGCTAAAAGCCAAAGTAAGGCCTTAAGATTTGGAAGCCTAAAAGTAAGTGCAGCCAATTGTAGTTGTTTAAACTTTAGTGTACTGTTTAGTTTGTCAAAAATTATAAAAGCATGTATTTTGTATGTGGTAGAGCCATGCTGCAGCTATATTTCTAGTATAGTCGTAACACGAATGGGTTGGCTCGACCAGAGAAGGACCACACTCTCACAGAATACCAGCGTAAAATAGCAGCTTAATGCTGCTGTGTTTCATATGGTGAGTGTAGAGAACCGGAGACCCTTTTTACTGGAAACGAGGCATTCCATCTTAGTCCTCACGGGTGACAACGCATCTGCATTTTGATTTGTAATCGAGGATAAATGTAGATGTCTATGGGCCACAACAACCACTTACCGTTAGGTGGACTGTGTGCTCTTTTGTCATCCTTATCCTATAAAAAAAAATAAGCTAATTTTAGCGGCAGTTGTGGCCTTCAGGCATTCATCTAATTTATTAATGAAACAGGATACACTTAAGTTTAACAACCACAGCTTGTAGCTGGCTTCACTTATACATTTTGGTTTTTAACTTTGACATGTACACAAAACTTTAACTTTTAACTTTTTTTTAATTGTTTCACTATTAGGAGTATCTGGAGTTTAGTTTATCTATTCATAATCATATTAATATAAAATATAACTTAAATTTTATAAAGAAACATTAATCTCAACCCTTTTCTATCAAAAATAATTTCCCACACTATGAAATCTGTCAAATATTTCACCTCATTCCCAAGTGACGCCATGGTCATCACTGGTGTTATTTTTTTTTAATTCAGTTACAAAGCCTGCATTTATAGCCTATAATTATACTGGCTCATTATACCGTTCATACCAAGCAGCATTGAATGCACGGTTTGCTCAACAGCAGACATATAATACTAAACAGATAGTAGTCCTACCACATAGACTACTTTTGTTTCTTTCTTAATATGCTACATACTATTAAATGCAAATGCTAATAAGGTAATATAAGGTGGGGTGTTCTTTACCAATATTGTAAAATAAAAGTATTGTGTTATTGCTCACTTACTATATGTTTAATATAGATATTATAAAAACTTATGGTAGTAATAATTGTAATGATAATTTTTGTTATTGTTCTTAAAAGAGTAGTTTCTCCGTTTATGGTAATAATTGGTCTGTGGCAACTTATATTCAAAATAGTATTCTCAAAGAATTATTTTTAGTTTAATTTATTATTTTCTCATATAACTCTTATCATTGACATAGGCAAATGGCAATATACTTTTTTAGATGGATATAATTTTTTGTTAAGACAAATGATGTAATGATACAACATATGAAATGTCTACTGCTAAGCATACTCCTCCCCATAGATTGGCTCATATATTTGCCTTATTTGCCTCACTTGGTAGGTTAACAAAAGTGATTTTTTAATTATTTTTAGTTGTTATCAGGACTGTATATTTTCCTCTTACCTCATACAACACCTACAGGATAATATAAGTTATATAATGCTGATTATCTTACTTTGATGTAGATTATCTTACTTTGCCACTACTTAGTGGTTAAGTAAGAGAATTGAAGAATGACAACTTCTATATTCCATGTAAAATTGCCCAATGTATTTGAAAATTTTTCTTTTTTGTTGACCTATATATACAAATGTTTATTAAAGATTTTGCTTACAGAAAGGTAGTTAAGCAGGAATTTAGAATGAAAGCCTGTAAGGAACTTCACTGTTTACTCAAAGGACAATACAAATCTATAGCCTTAACTCATGATTTAAGCAGAGTCATACAAGTACTACTCAAGCACAGCCCTGAAGATATTAAAAATGAAATAACGGAAGAATTACTGGACATTATGGTACAAATGATGCAGTCAAAGTATGCACAACATGCTGTGAAACGCATCATGAAATACGGCACCGACTTTATACGTCATGAAGTCATAAAAAAGTTATTTGGTCATATTGTGTCTTTGGCAACACACACTATAAGCGCTCCAGTATTGGACTATGCATATGGTGAATTTGCTACAAAAAAAGAGAAAATCTACATGCAACAAGAATTCTATGGTGAAATATATAAAAATGTTAGTAAAATCTTTCTATTTTAGTGTTTGTTACCGTTACAGCCTATCAAGTCTAATGCTGACATAGACCTCTTAGCAATCTATATTGCCTCATAGAGAGGATATTTACCATAGTAGCCACTACGCACGCCAAGTACAGTTTTTTATTTTTAGTTGTTATTAAGAAAATTCTGCTGCCCATCTTCTGGTTTGCTTCCCCTTGTTGTCTTTATGACACCCACAGAACTGATATTCTTACACTACCCTACACGGTATAGTTAGTTTTATGATATGTGATTAAACATTTATTTTGGTGTTCATAAGAGCTTCAAACAAGCCTGAATTGAATAGTTTTGAATTTCAATACAAAAAGGAGCATTAACCTCTTTGTTAAGGCTGTTGCTAGACTGCAAAGCTTTGCTAGTTATAGGTTTGAATCCCTCATTTGACTCCTATAAAATAACAGCTAACAGAAGGTTGTTAAGCTAAATTGTAGTCGTTTTCAACCAACTTCAAAAAGGAGGAGGTGCTAAATTTGTTGGAATCTTTTTTTTATGTATGTTCACTGATGACTCGAAGACGCCTGAACCGATTTGGAAAATTCTTTTTTTGCTTCAAAGGGTATACTTCCCAGATGGTCCCATTTAAATGTTATCAAAATCGGTCAAGCAGTTTTTAAAAAATCAACAATAAATTATTTATATTAAAGTTGGTTGTACAAATTTTTCAATTTTACCACTTGTTTTTAATACCCTAGTATGGGGGAATAGTGAAAAATTGCAATTTTTTTTCAGTCTAAAGATGACAAATTAAAAACTCTCAGTGATGCTTACAAAGGGACACCTGAAATGAAGACAGCTATTTTACAAGCATGTAAAGCAAATATACAGAAAATTTTAGACAAAAACCTTCATGATAGCGAGTATGTATATTTATAATATATGTCATTATCAAAATATATCATTTTTTCATTTTAAGTGATAAACATTATGTTTGTGGATTTTCATATTATTTAAACTGCACAATTTTTAATTGTTCTTTGATATCTTGATATGATATTGTTATGTGTGGGGGGAGTTAAAATCACGCAGTGGTCCATATTACTCATGGATATTGTAAGTTGTTTGCTTTATAGTCACTTTCTGGAGTTCACTATTGCTTACCCCAATTAAGTAATTTTCTCTCTTTTATATCCAATAAAAAGTTCATTCAAACATTCTTCTTTTTTGGTTTGAAAATTCGAGAACAAGTCCAAATGAGAAAACTTTAAACACTGGATTTTGGAGTTTGATTTAGTGATTGATTTGGTTGAGTCATGTTGGAACTCTGACCTACCATAAATTTTACATACTAGAGAAATTTTGTCACCACTTTGCAGTAGATTGAAGATTTCAATTTCAAAGTTCTTGCACTTTTGACACTTCATCCTATTGCTGGGCTGTCTATTTTATCTCCAAGATGAAGTAATAGATTCTCTCTTCTTCCCTGTTTTGTGACAAGATTAATTATAGTTTGCAAAATAATGTTTATCTAAAATATTGATTCATTGTATAGTTCTCTATGAATGCTCAGTATATTTAATGTTTTGTAGGTTATTTCAAACTGTATTATATGATTACATCCGTGAGTGTACACCAGAAGACAAAGTAGAGCTCATTTCAACTTTAAGTCCGCTAATTGTGCCTCTCAGCAACTCACTGCCGGGTGTCAACACAGCCAGTATATGTGTATGGCAAGGAACAAACAAAGACAAAAAGGTAAAAATAATTGTGTGTTATGAATATATTATGAATGTGTGGTTTGAAAAAAAAATCGGCAAAGTTGCAATCACAGCAGCCTGTCTCAACAGAGACTAACCATCTGTGCAGGACATGATTATAGGGCTTGAGTTGTGCATAAGCACAGGTGCACTCTCTATTTCCTAACTCTCATGGTCCAGTGGTACAGCAATCTGACACGACCAGAGAGAAATCAAACACTAGTACTAGTATTTACAAGTTGGCTCAACACTTGGCAAAAATACTGTCACCTCTGAGAAAACATACCAGAGCACACACAAAGGATTCATACCATTTTGTTAGTGAGATAAAAGACCAACATTTCGCTGACAATGAAACTATTGTCAGTTTTGATCATTGTTACCTATTGCAGACTGCATCTCAATTGTAACTAGGAAGCTAGAAGATAATAACATGCCTACAGAATATGCAGTAAGTTCTCAAATATTTTTTACAAGTAAATTTTTTCTTCGGAATTACCATGTTGTTGCATGTTAAATTTTGATGTAATTGATACTTCACTGTTTAATTTTGCAATAAACGAAAATACCTTTCAAAGCTTTTTAAACATAATAAATAAATTAATAAAGGCTTTATGTGCTTTTCAACACTGCCAACTTCCTGACTCTGGGCTGCTACTGAGAATTTTATGACAGGAAAACCCAGTAACTGATTTTGGTCTACCCAGAATTCGGTATTTGGGATCCAGGATTTGAACCCGATTTTATTCCAGCCACGTAATTTAGCATTCACACAACCACTAGTCCATAGGCAACAACCCCGAATAAATAAGAAACTGGCAAGCCAAAGGTAGGGTGATGTATCAAAAAAATGTGGGGCTGTTAAGTAAAGAAGTAAGTAATAATGTTAATCTATACATATAATAAAAATGTAAAAAGCAGACATCTGTACATTTTATATTTTTGTAATAAAAGTGATTGAGAGATACTAAAAATAAGTAACTAAATACATTTCTACCATTTTTAGAATTTTCTGCCTGTCTGTTTGTTTGTTAACGTATCACGTATAAAGTACTAATTTCTGTATCTTCGTGTTACATTTAGTCTTTAATTTATTAAAATCAGTTCATTCAATCCAAAGTTATGATAAATATTCTGAAGTATGAATAGGAAGTATAGGTACGAATTTCTTCAACAGTGGCGATGGTTGAGTCATCAAGTGCATTTTAAACTAATACCATATCATAAATCATAATTAAATTAGGTAAAATAATGTTCCATAATGATATAATTATAATTAAAACGCAGTAAACAAAAGTATTTACGTATTAAATAAAATATACAAAAATATTATTAACTTCTTCGATAGGTGGCGGTATGGTGTAAATGTAATACAAAAAGGCGGGTTGTCGTTTTACCTGTAGATGAGTTTTCATATTTACTGCTAATCTTTATATTACTCGCTGCCCTACTGCGTGTTGACAAACTCATTTATTCTTTACTGCCGAGTACCTACTCTATGTGGTAAATCAAATTTTAAAAGAGCTATTAACAATTGCGTTGGTTTCGGCGAGAATCAAAACTTTTTTTTTTGCTTACTATGCAGACACTGGTTTATAAGTTCTTTTATGTTTTATATTTATAATAATGTACCAATCGCGTCAATTAACCTCTTTTATTTTTAGAATTGATTGCTGTTAGAAGCGCCATCGCTCTTTAAAATATATATACATATAATAAAAGTGGTGATAACATGTTGTGTCTGTTTTTGTATATTGTATAGAATATTTGTCACTAAAATCATTATAGCGAAATGAAAATAATTAAATAAGCACATCTTTATAATTTTTATAATTGTCTGTCTGTTTGTCTGTTTGTTTATAAACGCATCACAACTAAAGTAAACATATTTTTTTAAGAAATCGCTAAGAAAATCATAAAGTGTATCTTCAACTTACATTTAATTTTTGTTTTATTAAATTTAGTTAATTCTATCCAAAGTTATGATTATTAGTTTGAAATGTAGGTTCGAATTTGTTCAATGGCGCCATAAAATATCTGAAAAAGTAATAAAAAGATTTGTGTGTGTAGAAAACCGTTTTATAATAATATATTTATACTTAAAACACAGTAAACAATAAAAAAGATGTTATCCTTAAATTTAAAAAATTTTCTCACAAAGAACTTAATAGATGGCGTTGTACAAATTACATTCTTTTCTGAATTGCGGCGTTAAGTTACTCCGAATCGTATTGAGACTAACCCAGAACCAATGTAGAGATTATATATTTTCAATTTCAACTTAATAAATTAAATTAAATGATATATATTATGTGTTTATTATGAGTTATAAAGAAAGGAGTGTCATTTGAATTGTTATTGTTTGAGTGTACGAGGGCGGTACTGAAAATTTCGGGAATCAAGGAAGTGACACAACATTACTATTTAAAAATGTATTTATTGCTTTTCGAAGTATTCTCCGCGAAATTTGACACATTTTTCCATACGATGGAACCAATCATTGAAGCAACCATTCCATTCGGAAGTTGGGGTCTCCAAAATGGCCGTTTTGTAGGCGTCCACAGCTTCTTCAGGTGAAGAAAATCTCTGTCCACGCAATTTATTCTTTATTTTAGGGAAAGTATAGAAATCTTTCTTTCTAGAGTTCTGACGCACCAAGTAACGCGAGCCGCTTTTTGCTCTTCACAGAGCGAATGCGCTATCCATCGGGAAAACAACTTTTTTACACCTGATTGTTCATGCAAGATTATTTGTATTTGACTCATGCCAATGTCTAAAGTTGCCTGAATTTCGCGGTATGTCACATGTCGATCTTCCTCAATCAGCTTACGCACAGCATCAACGTTTTCTTGGGTGACTGCAGTTTTTGGACGACCTTGACGGGGATCATCACTGAGCTTGACACGTCCACGTTGAAATTCAGCAGACCAGCGATAAATTGTGGTTTTGGATGGGGCTTCATCACCAAATGCAGAAATCATCCGGTCAACACACTGTTTTTGTGTTAAACCACTTCGAAAGTCATAATAAATCATCGCTCTTGAATTTTCTCGAGTCAATTCCATTTTCTCAACGACTAAACAAGTTTGACAAAACCTTGTGACAAGACCGAGAATCTTTTTTTAAATAAATAAACGGTATTCGTTTTTTAAAACTAAGGAGTTTTCAATTAAAAAGATTTTAATATGACAGGAACAGTGGAAATATTCCATTCCCGATACTTTTAGTGCAGCCTATGTATGTAGTGATTATATTATACTCTTTGGCTTTCTCATTACTGTTAGAATTTAGAATACTACTAAAACTCTATAGACATTAAGTAAAATAGTCAATTTATTTTGTATCAGATTATAATGAACAGACGAATATCAGAAATCACAACTTCACACAACTCAATAGCGAACTCATATTCCAACTTCAAAGGATGCTACATGAAATAAATCCATACGTTCATAGTTTTAGGGTTGCATTGCAATCGATCCGTCAAGATTTAATAAACGATTATAAAATAGTTATTAACGCTGACAGACGTCCTGTTACTGAACACCGCGGTAGCAACGTTCCTGTCAAGTGGCAGTGGTATTAGTTGACCAAGAGTGCGATAGATGTGACATCGTGTTGCACACACATGACAATCTACTGCCAGGGATTTATGAAACGCATAAATATGATGCTCTACAATATCCATTAATATATTGTCACGGTGAAAATGGGTACAATTTCGGAATTTATCAAGTTAATCCTAATACCAGAGAGACCAATTTTAATAAAAAAATATCTGCTCTACAATTTTATTCGCACCTGTTACATGTAAGGCATAATCGTCTTGCGTATCTGCAAAGATTTCGGGGGTTGTTTAACCAATTTATAGTGGACATGTGTGCGAAAATAGAGACGGAGCGCTTAGTGTATATACGCACTAACCAGATACGTCTGTTACACTGACGTTATCACTTAATGATACAGTAATGATATAAATCGTTTAATATTCTCTTACCTGAATGACACATTCTCTAAGTAAAACCTATATACGCGAGCTACGCCGCAGGCACAGCTAGTTTACTAATAATTATGCTTCACATTTGATCTAAGTTTATGGTAACAATGTTTTTATACTTTACTTGAATTTGGTTTATCACTATATTTCTAAATAAAAAATGAACAGTTGTGCTATATTATATAGCTCTTCATTGCAAAGTGCAATGACTTAGATCCTAAAGCTCTTGATTGAATGAACGAAACATACAGCGAACATGTAAAAAAGTTCCTCAACATTTATTATCCTTAAATTATATTTGTAACGAAAATTGTATCTCATTTTTAAATGTTTTTATAGCACAGAAAAATCTATCACACTGCCCTAATATGTTTTGTTTTAAATTGGGTTTGCTTTATAATGCATTTTGAGTTGATGAATGCTCGCAGGACAAACTTTCCACGTTTTACATTTCCACACATTACGGTTTTAATCATCTCATACATGTCATACTGGCAACAAGGAGTACTAATATAGATTATAGTCATCTGGTACGGTTTTTCAAGCAGTCATAAAGGCTGATTGATGTGATGTGCAAGTCGAGAATAGTGGTGAATTTACGAACTGATGAGGAGGCTTAAAATATGATTTCTTTCAATCATCATCATCATCATCACATCAGACTAGGTGTCTGGCGCAATATAGGATTATAGTGCTCAAGTGGATGCGTAGGTATAGGTGCACTCTCTATTCCCTCACTCTCATAGTCCGATGGGATGGTAATCCGACAAGACCGGAGAGAGATCAGTATAAGGACCTACGGCTTTACGTGCTTTTCGAGGCACGAAGTTGAAAACACCGCTAACTTCTGTTTATGTCTTTTATAGTTTTATATTATAGTTTATGTGTTTATATTATATTAAAATACAGGCTATTTTATCATTATTGTATAAATATGTAGTGCATCATAGTATCAAACTGTCACACATAAATTAAAACTCATAACTAAAATAAACCGTTATTAATTTCAGACAATACTGAAAGTGGTAAAAGAGCATGTTGTATCGCTGAGCAAACACAAAACTGCGTATCGTTTACTAATAACAATATTCGACGCCGTCGATGATACCGTTTTAGTAAAGAAAGCCATCATATCTACATTAGCTAGCAATTTGAAGGATATTGCAAAAGATCATTGGGGTAAAATGGTAAGATATAAATTTATTTGTTGAAAAACACATTTAATGTCATATGAAAATCGGCGCCTGTAAGAGTGCTCCGGTAATGTGATTACTATGCCAAAAGACGTACAGTTGGGGCGCAGTATTCGCGGAGAACGAGCTATACTTCTCTGCCGATTATGTTGTGTACTACATTTATTATTTTAGTATTAATTTTTAAAATAAATTTTAATGTAAATAGCACTGGTCCCTAAACTAGCTTTTCACCTAATGTTACAGGCGATATATTTCGCTGGGCATAAACCGCCTCTCATTTCTGAGAGGGTTTTAGGGCAAGGAAGTGTCCACCGCGCTACTCTAATGCGTGTTGGCGGACATCAAATGTCTTCGAAATATTCCTTTTTCTCAGACATGCAGGTTACCTCACGATGTTTTCTTTCACCGCTGAGCACATGGTAAATCTGCACTTAAAATTGCAATTAACAATTTCAATGGTGCCTGATGATGGGATGGTAGTTTATAAATCAGCCTCTATATTAGGGTTTTCTATAATTATGATTAAACCAAATGAAAGAAAGAAAATATTTATTTCACCACATTATGATTACAATGCTATATTGTACATAATGTTGATTAAAAATAATACAAGACGTTGCCGAACGTGATGAAAAGGGGTTGCGTTTTCAGTATTTGGCCTGGCGAACCAGCTACTGTTCAAATTAGTGTGGCCCGTTTCGATCTTTCGAGTAGTTCGAGCTGTTGTCTATCTTAACAATCTATCTTAAAAATGGACGAAAAACTTCAAAGGACTTTCTATTGCTCAGTATGATTTTTAAGTGTTTTTAATTCTTCTTTCTTTTTTATTATCTATTTTTATAGGCGAAAATGACTTTCAAAAACTTGTTATCTATATTAAATAAATATTTTATTTGTTAATTTCTTATTTTTAGTAAATATATAAAATAATTTATAATTAATAATTCTAGGTGTTGCACTGGCTTGTTAAACCCAAGGACCCGGCAGCGTTCCATCCCAGTTTCATAAAGTTCCTAGAAGACGGCGCTAAGAGTGGCACATCCAAAAAAGACGCAGAGCTTCGCGTATCAGAGTTACGGGAAGCGATTCTTCCTATTTTAAAGAAAGATATGGAATCTGAACCAGAGTTCTGGCTGAGTAATAAAGCTAACTTCCTGTTGACTGTAGCAGTGTTGTCAATAGGTAATCTATACAAATAAATAAAATTGAAGTGTCTGTCAATCAAATCTGAAAATGAAAGATCGAAATACCTGGCTTCTGTTACGCTTAGGGAGTGATTGGCGTGCTGAAGGACATAAATAACAATTTTTACGAATGCTTGAATTGGATGAACTGATTGTAATGAAGCTTCACAACCGCATAAGAGTACAATGTCAGCTGTGATCTAAGCTATATTTTATCCGAAAAACGTGCAAGATTTTTTGTGAAATCTTAAAACTGATGAATATGTAATGAAATGGTTTTCATTATAATTCCATAAAATAAGAGAAAAAAGTTTTAATGAAAAATTATTTGGTTCGTAATTTTAGACAAAGGTCTTAACACTTTTTCTTCTCTCTGTTTTTAATTATTATTCTTAACATTTTCCCATATCGCACTTAGTATCACGGCTGTAATCTCCATGGGGGTAGGCAGAATCTAAAGAGCAGCAAGCCACTTGGACTATGTTTAGCCAATAAAAAGCACTCCTAGTTTATGATATCAGCAAAAATTTATAGATAATAACAGTTCAGTCAGGCAGTGTGTGCACTCTTTTTTACCTGTCTCATGGGACGGCAATCAGACCAGACAGGAGAGAGATCAAGCAAAACTACCTACAGTTGCATCAGACAAATGGCTTTACGTAGGTATTTTCTGAGGCACCTCCAAATCACTGGCTCTGGGCTGCTCCTAAGAATTACTTGATAGGAAAACCCAATAACTGAATTTTGCCCAACTTTTGGATACTAGGTGAACGAGGCAGTCAACAAATCAATTACATAATATACAATTTATGAATTGATTTTATACGTAGGCATTTTTTTTTGTTAACTAGCACTGATTCATCAGTCCTGAATATTAAGAACCGTAACGGGATATGAGCCTCTCGTGTTGCAGTAAAGACTTATAGTAATAGTCACGCTTCGAACTCGAATTAGCGACAATAGTATCAGAAGCCTTTGACGCTGCTTCCTGTCGCGGGTATTTTCATCTGGCATATACTGCTGAGAGTGACTTGGAAAATAGGCTGAATATCAATAAACCAAAAAAGCAGTTGAAAATTTCATTTTATTTCCAGAAACATCAAAGGAAATCTTAGAAGCTTTGGCTAAAGTCATATGTCAGTCGGATTGGGTCATTAAGATTGAAGATAAAGAAGTGCTGGCTGTAGAAGACGCGGGAATACACATGTGTCTAAAGAAACTTGCTTGTTTGGATAACGGCAGACCTGAAGGGACTCTGGGTGAAGTAATGTGTGACCATCTGAATGATGATGCTGTAAGTAATTTAAGTCTCAAGGGTATTTTATTAGAAATTAAAAAAAAATATCGTCCTAACTTTTTTCTGTGAACCGATTTTGATGATTTTTTTTTTCTGATTGATGATTTAAAAGCTAGTGCTTCTCATGTGGTCCCATATAAATTTGGTCAAGATCTGGCCAGTACTTTTTGAATTATCCTTAATAATCCGTATTTAATTGACTTTGACTACATTGACAATGTTCTCATTTTATTTATATTGAAGTCAGTTGTACAAAAATTTTTATTTTACCCCTTGTTAAGTAACTATTAGAGGCATCTAAATTTTTAATAAAATGCCTTTTATATTACAGATTAAAGTTTGGATACCAACTAATAGAGGATGCTTCTTTCTCCTCAAGTTGATTGAAAACAATGAAGAAGAGATAGCTAACAAACTTATTAAGAAGATCAAAACACATTCAAATCTTATAAAGCAACAGTCATCTGAGGGTGCTAAACTATTGTTACAGAAAATTCGGAAATAATAATACATATTAAAAAAATTATAATTATTTATTTCGCTTAACTAACATACCATTATTTAAACTATCACATTAATTTGGTCACATGAATGAATCACATGCCACTTATATTATATTTAACAACTTAAAAGTCACTCGACCCAAATCTTGCCTATGGGTTTTAATCCAACACTATTAATTACATTCAAAGATTTTTCTAATAACTCCTCCTGTATTGTTTTTATTGGTCTGTAAGAAAAAGAATAAACTTAGTAAAACAGCTATTATATTATAAACTTATAAATCTTAGGCATTATTTTTATTTATTTATTGTGGTATTGGTTGCAAGGTCTTCAGTCAAATAGAATCTAATATATAAAATTCTATTGTCGCGGTGTTTGTTACCAAACTCCTCCGAAACGGCTGAACCAATTTGTATAAATTTTTCTGTGCATATCGGGTAGGTTATGAGAATCTGCCAACATCTATTTTTCAAACTCCTAAATGATAAGGGTGAGTACCCACCCCTACATATTTTGTTTTTCTATTTTTTACAATTTTTTTTTACTTTATTATGATTTAGCGTTGAAAAATACATGAAACTTCAAATTTTTACCTTTCTACGATCAATCCCTGTTTTTTAATCGTGATTTTTAAAACTAACTAAAAAATATTTCCTAGAAATAATGTATATGGCAAAACAACGTTTGTGGGCCCAGCTAGTAAAATATAAAATGTTGTAAATACATTTTTCACTATATGAATCTATTTCATTACTGCCTATAAAAATCCACTACTGAACATAGACCTTCCTCATAGATTGCATCATCGTAGGGGGGATTTCGCCATAGTTGACACACTTGGTAAGCAGAATATCCTCCACAGTTTTTATTATTTTTAGTTGTTATCAGCAAGATGCTGCTGCCTATCACCTGTTTCAATTTCCCTCTGTCGCCTCTTACGACATCCACGGAGCGATGTAGTGGAGGATATGAATATTAACAAATTTCTTCACAGTATATGCATATTTTTAGGAAATTTTGATAGAAAATCTTAAACAAGGAAACAGTTGATCACATATTGTAATGTATCTCAAGTTTTCAAGGCGCCTAAGCAAACAAAATAACGAGGTCTCTATTACCAACGTAGCACTTATTTCGTCGTTTCCATTAAATTGTTCACATGTGCTTTGTGTTGTTGTGCATGTTTCTTACACAAAAACGCATCACTTTTGCTTACCAACATCCATTCTTTTTTAGAAAACTCAAGTGACAAAAAACTTAAAGTCCACCTGATGGTAAAAGTGGTAGAACCATGCTGCAGCTATATTACTGGTATAGTTGTAGCATAAATGGGTCGGCTCGACCGGAGAAGGACCACACTCTCACAGAATACCAGCGTAAAATAGCAGTTTAACGCTACTGTGTTTCGTATGGTGAATGTAGAGAACCGGAGACCCTTTTTACTAGAAACGAGGCACTCCAATTTACTAGTTTTTAAGGCATTTACTTTTTAAAAACGAAATAAAATTTATTTATTTATTATTTATTTACTCCATCTTAATCTTCACGGGTGACGATGCATCTGGATTTTGATACGGCATCGAGGATAGATGTAGATGTCTATGGGTCGCAGCAAGCACTTATCATCAGGTGGACTGTGTGCTTATCACCCTTATCCTACAAAAAAAGAACTGAAAATAATACAAAAGCCGTGGTTGTGTTGATGTATGTGAATGATGAATGGTTCTGATACCAATATGGTTACGGAGAAAGATCAAGCACAGGACCAATGGCTTTATGTGCTTTCTGTGGCATTTGACTTCGGGCTGCTACTGAGAATTTCTTGACAAAAAAATCCAATAATTGATTTTCGGCCCGACCCGGGATATGAACCCAGGACCACAAGATCAGCAATCGCTTTTACAACTACTAGACCTACTAGGCAGACATTTAACAAATTTAAATTATAATATTACAACATAATATACAATATAATCTTTTATTTCAACTTACCTGCTGGCATCCAGAACTTCCCAGTTATCTTCTTTTAGTTTCTGATACATTTCTGAAACTTTCATTTGGAAATCTAGGACTTCATACCTGCAAACGAAACGATTTTGTTTATCATTATAAAAAAAGTTGCTCAAGTCTAAGTAGCGCAGGGGCTGCGGCGCTACCACGTACAGGCTTAGAGAATCCCTCATGGAACAAGTGTTTTGTATGATCTGCAAATAATCATTATAGGTCTTGTTATTTGCTCATGTGCAATTTATGTTTATAAAACACTCCCTTACAGTACATGACAAGATATTAGTGAGTGGGTTAATCTATTTATGTCACCAAGCAGCAGTGCATGTTTGAAGGGTTACGGGTGTCAATGCGCTGTCTATCTAGAATCAACATGTGGTGGTGGCAAAAGAGAATCTATCATCTTATTTCATTCCAGTGTTGTAAGAGGCAAATATGGGAAATGCAAAAAAATCGCATGGATCTGATATAATAATAAAATATAACCATCCCATTTAAGCCAGACTGGCAACTGAAAGAATCGTCAAAGGTGCAAGATGTCTACGATAGAGGCATTTATCAGTGAACTTTAAGGGGCTAATTAAAAGATGAATCTAGAAATTTATAATTTCTCATAAAATTATAATTTTAGGACTTTCGTCTTAATTTAATAGTGTCACTCAAGACATGTGATATATGATGATAACATTCACGTTAAAAGAGTCTCTTTAGTTTTAAAGATCAATGCTTAAATAAATTTGTTTTAAAACTTATACCTTTTAAACGGTCTGCGACAGCAATATTAATGACAAATCAATGAGAACAATAACTTATATAGTACATATTATTATATAAATATTATGAAAATATCATAGACTTTGTTGAAACTGAAGCAATGTGAAAAACGATTTCGTAAAATTCACTAGGAATATGATCTGCATAATGAAAAGTAGTGACTATGTACTGCTTATATCTATTCAATTTTTACATTGCTTTATTGATAATAAAGTGTAGGTTATTTATTTCATTTCGGGCAATATTCTGTATATTTTATCAATATTATTTTACTTTTATTCGAAAAATGCCGTGTTGTGACATTATAAGAGACTCCATTACCCCATGTCATACCGTTAGTGACGTAGGATGCGACAGATGAAAAGACACAGAATATGAGCAGCTGCAACTTCCTTGTGTCAACTCAAAATAATAATAAAAAAACTGTGGTTGGCAACCCGCCTCGTGAGCACGGCATATATAGCAAATCATCAATCAGTAGCAGACTTTTGATAGGCCGCAATGAATTAATGAAAGACACGCGAATATTCGCGCCAGTTTTCCCACAAGCATATACTTCAGTATAAACAAACATTAGTATCGACTTAGAGTTTAAAGCATAAAAAGACAAAAAAAAATACTCGCCTTTCATTTCCAAATCCATTTCTCTGCTGTATTTTATCAAGAGGCATTGTAAGAAAGAATACCCTGTCAGGCATTGGTAAACCAGAATCTGGTGATTTGCACCAATTTAAGTCTAAACCTGCAAACAATCAATGTATATAAAGTACCCTATAAAATTTTGTAACATAATATATATGAATAACGCTATAATGCTGGCAATGCTGCAGCTATAACACGATTGCAGCAGAAATGGTTCAACTTTACCAAGTTGTCTTCGCTTTATTTTCATATTTTATTATGGATTCTATTAAGTAAATTTCAGTTACACTAAAATTTCAGACACAACCGAAGAATTGTTACCTGGTCCATCACAAGGAAGTTAATTTTATTTTAATTGAGCTAGAGCTAAAACAAATCCAATTTTTGTGGACCTATTTCAGGACAATTTTACCATTAAGAGTTGCTCCTTCTCCATAAAATAAACTAAATGTTGCCCATGCTTTCTATAGTCCTGTCACATGACTAAAGAAACCGACCAGAGATAAAGCTTCATACAACCGCGCTATGATAGGTACACTACTACAAGCCTATGGCGCGTCTCCACCAGTTTTGTTGTCAACACGTTTTGCCAACAAATGTTTCTGTCAACAAGCGTCTCCACCGAGGGAACAAATGACGGCAACAAGCGTATTCCTTTGATGTTGACAACAAAACTTTGGTGGAGATTCGGCTTTATACGAGGAATTCACTAGACGGACATGCTCATGGGCTGTTTGTCCAGTCATGTCTGTCGCCGTAATACACTTACACAGACTCATCAGTTTGTTCTAGACCGGCTACGCGATTAGTTGTTTAAAATGGCAACGAAACGACGAAAAATTTAAATAGTAGCTGGTGGTGCATTAATAATGTTCGATGACAAGAAAAAGAAAAGAATTTGGTGCAAAGAATGGTATAAAAATAGAAATAAGTTTAGCCATATCAATTAACTTAAAAAATTGTAAATTGATGAACCAGGAGACCTGTACAATTACTTGCGCATGAATAATTTGAATTTTATTATAACTGATAGAGCCTAAAATTACATAACAAAATAATAAAATGTGATAGTCAGTAACTGCAAAAGAAGGATTACTTACTAAACTGAGAGATTTAGCTACAGGAAGAACATATGTATCGATTACCATCAGCGATTTTTCCGGACCGATACGACTTAGGGACCTTCAAGAAAAGTGCCTACTCCTTTTTAAAAGGCCGGCAACGCATATGCAATTCCCCTGTTGTTGCAGTTGTTAATGGGCGGCGGTAGTGACTTACATCAGGTGTGCCGCATGCTCGTTTGCCCCCTCTCCTATAAAAAAAATCATTAGTTGCGTATTGATTGCTGCTGAGCGCTCATTGGTGCGAGCGCGTGACATACCGATATGGAAATGAACACACTAGCTAGCGTCAAAGTGTTGAAATAATAAAACCAATTATGAACAAAACATCTTTATTCAAAATATTAATCAGACGTTTTTCTTGTCTCTAACAGTTGCTGTGTAATTTGAGCACCACCTAAAAACACAGGAAGGCATTTTTACCACGAATAACTAGAAGATTTACGCGCTGTAGCGAAGGTATAGCCGCGACGCGAGAGCGTGCCCGACTGAATGCGAGTCGGGCAATTACCTGACTTTCGTATTGCCATTTTGGAGCGAGTATTTTTTTTTAATATGATAAGGGTGACAAACGAGCACACAGTCCACCTGATGGTAAGTGGTTGCTACGGCCCATAGACATCTACATCTATCCTCTGTTACAAATCAAAATGTAGATGCGTTGTCACCCGTGAGGACTAAGATGGAATGTCTCATTTCCAGCAAAAAGGGCCTCCGGCCACCTGCACTCACCAAGCGAAACGCAGAGGTAAACCTCTACTTCACGCTGGTTTTCTGTGAGGTCGTGGTACTACCCCGGTTCGAGCCGGCCCATCCATGTGACAGCAAAAGCTGCCGCGTGACTCTACCACTGTTACGTATCTATACTTTAAAATCATCTTAGTATTCTAGTTATTTCTTATCATTAAATTTTATGTATTGCATGCCTTAAGCGCAAAGTGCGTAGGTATGTTCTACTAGCGTCTAAAAATCAAGATTCCAACGTTTTTTTGCAAAAAATCGTATCTAACAATCATATTGAACATATAAAAAGCACGTTGTCAGAAAGATAAATGATTGTTGAACTTATTAATATATTTTTTTAAATCGATTGCTATTTTGAGATTAAAAAAGTGGTTTTAGTGGCTTATCGTGTAGATTTATTAAGTCACCATGGAGTGGTAAACACGATAACTTTTGAAAATATAAACTATTTAACTCAATCTATTTTATAATCTCTTCATCTATCATGTGGGAAGCCATGAAATGTAAATGGCAGATTATGTTTTTCTTTTATTTAGTTATAATTATTTTTTTCGGCGTAGAAATTTTCGGTGTTTTAGCAGCCTTGTAATAATTTATTTTACTAAATAGACTGCCTCACTCACTCACGTCGGCGTCAACCGCCGTCGTAAGTGGATACTGTATCAGTTGTTTGCAGCGGCTCAAAAAGATCGCTGTTAAATACAAAATATTCGAAAAACCAAATTTGATACATTCTTGATTATTATAATAATCATAGATTTTATTACAATATTTTAAAAGCACAGAATAAATAATAGTACTACGTACTAAAAGTAAGTAGGATGTACCTATATATTTAAGTATATTTAGGTACTTAAATACGTCTTTGACTTTATGGAGTGACCTGAATGATGATCATATGAGCATTATGAGTCTTGCACTTTTGGATTTTCCAAACTTTTTTAAATTGAAGTTTGACATAAAATTATTGGAAAATTTGAAGTATAATAAGGTAATTAGTGAAAACTTGTGTGTACTGACTAAACTACTTAAAAAAAAATACGTATAATCATGTTATACGTAATTTTTTTAATGCGCTTAGGGCATGGACAATTGGATTTACGAATAGTTTTTATTTATTTAAATTATTAAGATAATCTAGTGTAACGTTTTCGATGATATTTATTTTCGAAACAGATAGTAATAAAAGGACGTCTGCACCGGTTGCTGTTGCTCTTGTCTGTGAAGTGTGAACAGACAACCCGCAGTAAGCATTCACGTTCAGACATGTCTGCACGCGCAGACAAATTAAGATCGCGTCGCGCGGACGTTCAACAGGCAAATCCTGCCAGTCCATGAGACCGACTGCGACGGTCCTACACTGTCGAACATTGCACCGTAGGCATGAGACCGATATAGGTATATTAAAACGTAACTAATAACGTTATGTTATCAAAATATCATATCATTCGATACGAGGGCTGCACTAAAAGTATCGGGAATGGAATATTTCCACTGTTCCTGTCATATTAAAATCTTTTTAATTGAAAACCCCTTGGTTTTAAAAATCGTATACCATTTATTTATTTAAAATAAGATTCTGGGTCTTGTCACAAGGTTTTGTCAAACTTGTTTAGTCGTTGAGAAAATGGAATTGACTCGAGAAAATTCAAGAGCGATGATTTATTATGACTTTCGAAGTGGTTTAACACAAAAACAGTGTGTTGACCGGATGATTTCTGCATTTGATGATGAAGCCCCATCCAAAACCACAATTTGTCGCTGGTTTGCTGAATTTCAACGTGGACGTGTCAAGCTCAGTGATGATCCCCGTCAAGGTCGTTCAAAAACTGCAGTCACCCAAGAAAACGTTGATGCTGTGCGTAAGCTGATTGAGGAAGATCGACATGTGACATACCGCGAAATTCAGGCAACTTTAGACATTGGCATGAGTCAAATACAAATAATCTTGCATGAACAATTAGGTGTAAAAAAGTTGTTTTTCCGATGGATACCGCATTCGCTCTGTGAAGAGCAAAAAGCGGCTCGCGTTACTTGGTGCGTCAGAACTCTCGAAAGATTCCACGCAGGATCCTCAAATGCTGTATACAACATCGTATCAGGTGACGAATCCTGGATATACGCGTACGAACCCGAAACAAAAATCCAGTCACGAGTTTGGGTGTTCGAAAATGAGTTAAAGCCAACAAAAATTGTTCGTTCACGGAGTGTTGCAAAAAAAAATGGTGGCCACGTTTGTCTCCAAAACCGGCCATGTTACGACAATTCGTCTTGAGGGACAAAGAACGGTTAATGCAGAATGGTATGGCTAGCATTTGTTTGCCACAGGTCGTTTCTCAACTCCGTAAAGAGAACTGCAACCGCCGCATCATCCTCCATCACGACAATGCGAGTTCTCACACCGTACACAGAACAAAAGTTTTTAGAGCAAGAAAACATCCGCCGTACAGCCCCGACCTAAGCCCTAATGATTTCTATACTTTCCCTAAAATAAAGAATAAATTGCGTGGACAGAGATTTTTATCACCTGACGAAGCTGTGGACGCCTACAAAACGGCCATTTTGGAGACCCCAACTTCCGAATGGAATGGTTGCTTCAATGATTGGTTCCATCGTATCGAAAAATGTGTCAAATTTCGCGGAGAATACTTCGAAAAGCAATAAATACATTTTTAAATAGTAATGTTGTGTCACTTCGTTGATTCCCGAAATTTTCAGTGCCGCCCTCGTAAACCCAAGTACATAACCGTAATTACATATCTAACCAAAACCAACTAACCAACGTACGAAGCGTAAAACGCAAACTGGAACGATAAGCCAACACGGCCCAACCGATGTTCTTCGTTGATATTCGTTTTCTGTAGGGATGTGAAAAAATAATCGATTTTCATATTAATCGATTATTTTTTTCTTATAATCGATTTTTCAATGTAGATTTTTTTACATAAAAATCGATTTTTAATAAATCGATTATGTAAATTACGCGTTTTAATCGATTTTTAAAATCAGATTCATCTGTGCCATGGATGTAAAAACGTGAAGTAAGTTCAATAACATGAATAAGTCAATCAAAAGAACAGCGTCATCTGTGCGACAGATGAAAAAACGCGAAGTAAGTTCACTAACATGAAAAAGTCTATCAAAAGACGGCGCCACCTTTATGTATCTCTACGTATGCAAAACAGTTTCGCCTTTCGTATGTTTTTAATAGTTTTCTTCCTCCTCTAGGAGTAAACGTATTCTGTGGTTTTCTTTCTTTTTTTTTGGTTAGTGTAAACAATTATATATAAACAATAAAAATGTGAGTTAATTATTTTCATTTCCCTATAATGATTTTAGTGACAAATATTCTATACAATGTACAAAACCATACACAACATGTTATCACCATTTTTATTATAAGTATATATTTAAAGAGAGATGGCGCTGCTAACAGCAATCAATTCTAAAAATAAAAGAGATTAATTGACGCGATTGGTACATTATTATATATATAAAACATAAAAGAATTTATAAACCAGTGTCTGCATAGTAAGCAAAACGCCTTTTTATATTACATTTGGACCATACCGCCATCTATCGATGAAATTGGTTAACTATTTCAATTTAGATTTAGTTAATAAGGCTATAATATATTTTTGTATATTATTTTATTTAATACGTTCTTTAATACTTTTGTTTACTGCGTTTTAGATATAATTATATCATTATAGAACATTATTTTACCTAATTTAATTATGATTTATGATATAGCATTAGTTAAAAATGCACTTGATGACTCAACCAACACCACCGTTGAACAAATTCGTACCTATACTTCGTATTCATACTTCAGATTATTTATCATAACTTTTGATTGAATGAACTGATTTTAATAAAATAAAGACTAAATGTAACACGAAGATACACTTTATATTATCCGTAATGATTCTTATGATATAAATTAGTACTTTATACGTGATACGTTAACAAACAAACAGACAGACAGACAGACAGAAAATTTTAAAAATGGTAGAAATGTATTTAGTTACTTATTTTTAGTACCTCTCAATCACTTTTATTACAAAAATATAAAATGTACAGACGTCTGCTTTTTACATTTTTATTATATGTATAGATTAATTTAACTTTTTAATTCCCGACGTTTACGGGGGGTCTGAGCTGTTTGACGTCCCGATGTCATAGTTAGCCTGGCTACCTTCCGTTTTTGAGTATTCATTTTTGGTCCGATCTAAGCAGAATCATTTCATCATTACAGCCTTTCATAAGTCCACTGCTGAACATATGCCTCCCCCAAGGAATGCCACAAAGCACGGTCCTGAGCCACCTGCATCCATCGACTTCCTGCATGCCTTACCAGGTCGTCACTCCATCTCGTGGGGGGTCGCCCTACACTTCGCCTACCGGTACGAGGCTGCCACTCGAGAACCTTTCTTCCCCATCGGTTGTCGGTTCTTCGAGCTATATGGCCGGCCCACTGCCACTTCAGCTTACTAATCCGTTGGGCTATGTCGGTTACTCTAGTTCTACTGCGGATATCCTCATTTCTAAGTTTATCACGCAGAGAAACTCCGAGCATAGCCCTCTCCATAGCTCGCTGAGCGACCATGAGCTTCCTCATACGGCCAGCTGTGAAGGACCACGTCTCAGTTCCGTAAGTCATCACTGGCAACACGCACTGGTTGTACAATTTCGTTTTAAGGTTTTGAGGTATGTCTGACGAGAAAATGTGTCGTAGCTTCCCGAACGCTGCCCAGCCGAGTTGAATCCGTCGATTGACCTCTCGGTCCAAGTTGGACTTACCTAGTCGGACTATTTGTCCCAGGTAAACATACTCGTCAACAACTTCGAGCTTAGTGCTCCCAACAACTACCGGCATAGGTGTGACATGGACATTAAACATAATCTTTGTTTTGTCCATGTTCATCTTAAGACCTATCCGTTGGGAGACACTATTGAGGTCGTTGAGCATAGTGCTTAGGTCCTCCAGCGATTCTGCCATAAGGACTACATCGTCGGCAAATCGAAGGTGAGTGATGTACTCGCCATTGATGTAGATACCGTATCCTTTCCAGTCCAGAAGTTTGAAAACGTCTTCCAATGCAGCGGTGAAGAGTTTCGGGGATATGACGTCACCCTGTCTTACACCTCTCTGCAATTGGATAGGTTTCGTACTCTGGTTCTGTACTCGGATAGCCATCGTAGCCCTACTGTACAAGCACTTCAGCACTTCGATATACCGACAGTCCACTTGGCACCGCTGAAGGGACTGCAGCACCGCCCAAATTTCGACGGAATCAAAGGCTTTCTCATAATCCACATACGCCAGACATAGTGGCAAATTGTACTCTTCGGACTTCTGTACAATTTACCGAAGGGTATGTATGTGGTCTATGGTGCTAAAGCCCTTTCGGAAACCGGCTTGTTCGGGAGGCTGGAAGTCGTCAAGTCTGCGCGCGAGACGATCGTAATGACTCTCGAAAACAGCACGTAGACGCGGCTCAGAAGGGAAATCGGTCTGTAGTTCTTCAAGAGAGCGTTGTCACCTTTCTTGAAGAACAAGACCACCGCACTTCTGCTCCACGCCTCCGGTGTAATGCCACCATGGAGGACGGAATTAAAGAGCTTCTGAAGGACTTCAAGTACCGGTCTTCCACTCGCTTTCAGAAGCTCCGCTGTAATTCCATCCTCGCCTTACCGTTTTTAAGGTGTTGGAAAGCCATTCTAATCTCGCTCAGCCTGACGTCCGGGATATCTTCGGAATAGTGTCGGATGAGACTCGCTCTTGGATCGTTACTCACACTTGCGTGTGGCTCCAACGATGACGTGTACAGCTGCCCATAGAACCTCTCAATCTCACTCAAAATCTCAGGTGTCCTGGAAACGATGCTACCACATTCTGTCTTCAGCTTTGACAGTTGGCTCTTACTGGCAGACAGATCTCTGGCAAAGACTTTGGAGCTTTGGTTCCGCTCGATCGCTTCTTCAATACGAGCTGTATTGAAGTTGCGTAAGTCCCGCCGCATGCATTTGGAGATCTGTCTGTTCAGATGCCTGTATGCAGTCAAGTCTCTTGAAGAATGTAGCTTCATGTCCCGTCTAACAGCCATGAGATTAAGAGTGTGATCGGAGAGTTTTTGTGTTCTTCTGCGGCGGGTCTTGCAGAACTTAGCTCCGACGGCATGGACAGTTCCCACGAGTTTGTCATTCATATCGTCCACTTCATTGCAGTCTTCTAGGCACTGAAAACGGTTTTGTAACTCGAGCTGAAAGGTTTCGGGACTTTGGAACAGAGCACGAGGGGGACGGAGCGTTGACTTTATTAGACGAGACCTCTCCAACTTAACGTTTAGGTTCAGTGTGCCGCCTCTAACCATTCGGTGATCGCTACCAGTTTTCACCCTCGCGATCACGGAGACATCACTGAACAGTTGTCGTCTGGTCGTCATAATGAAGTCAATCTCATTTTTTGCCGAATCGTCGGGGCTCGACCAAGTCTACTTCCTGTGGGGCCGCTTCTGGAAGAAAGAGTTCATCATAAAGAGTCCCTCTTTCTCCATGAAGTCGGCCAGCTGCTGGCCCCTTGGGTTCCGTTGCCCTAGTCCAAATTTCCCTACTTTCAGCTCACCGTTCTCTCTTGTGCCTAGTTTTGCATTGAAGTCTCCCATTAACACCGTATATTGGGTTTTGGAGGAATGCATGGCTCTAGAGATATCCTCATACATTTCCTCCACCTCCTCATCGGGGTGTGCCGAGGTTGGTGCGTAAACCTGTAATACCGTTTGGTGATTCTGAGTATAAGATACGCAATCCTCGTCGACACACTCCCGATCTTTATAACGTTGTTAACGAGAGACTTGTGGACGATAAATCCGACACCTCCTTGGGACAGATTGGTCGCCCTCCCGGTGATAGAGCAAGTTGCCGGATTCGAGGATTACCGTGTCCTCCCCCTCTCTTCGGACTTCGGATAATTCTATAATATGCCAGCGCAACTTGTCTATCTCTTCTTCCAGCTCCACGATCTTCTCGTCAGTCCTCAGGGTTCGTGCGTTGTACGTTGCCAGGTCGAGTCGTCTAAGGTGGCAACCGAACCTCCACCGGATATTCTTGACACCCCCTGCCCCGCCGTTACCATGGTCGCTACCGTAGCCAGGAATAGTGGGGCCGCCGGGGACTGGGGGCCGTTTCTTTGTTGCTTTAATCATTGGGGGGTATTTGCCATAGTTGCCACGCTTGGCGAGCGGGTTGGTAACCACAGTTTTTTTATTGTAATTTTGGCTAAGATGCTGCTGCCCATCTCCTGCCTGTTTCCCTTTGTCGCCTTTTACGACACCCACGGGAGGATATGGGGTAGTGGATATTCTTGACCGCCACTACACGGCACAACAAGCAGAATGAGCTTACAGTATCTTGAAATCTTACAGTGGTATGCTTGCGTTTGGATTTCATTTTATTAATTATAGGATCCCAAGCAAACGGCAGCACCCATGCATCTTCTCTATTGAAATTAGGATGTTTTTTTAATTTCAATAGCCTCGCGAATCATCCTTGCTAGGAATCGGTGTTCTTTTGCGAGGATTTGTGGTTATATATATATATATATATATATATATATATATATATATATATATATATTAGAGTAAAACGATGAATTTACATAAATTAACATGCATAGTGTCTAAATATCACATCTCTCCTCTCCTCTCTATTCTGAACGTGTGACTTCTAAACTAAATTAGTCGTAGTAATTCGTAAAATAAATGCAGTAAAAACTGAAAACGCCCATTCTTATTGCACAGACCTACAGTAGGGAAGTCTGGCGGGCATGTCCGTCTAGTGAATTCCCAGCTTTAAGGCGCGTATGTGTGAGCACTGGCTGCTCGTCACGTACAGAGAGAAACTGCTTTAAGTCGGCTCAGCCAGGGCTCAAACTCAGTGATTTTGGCCCGACCCGGGATACAAACCCGGGACTTCATGATCAGCAATCGTATTTAAAATCACTAGACCAACAAGGCAGCCTATAATAGTCAGGTATATACAACAATTTAAAACATAGGATTTCTTTAGCTTTTCCATAGTCAACTTGTAATGCCAACAAGATGTGGTGAGGTGAATATTTAATATGGGATTTGATTAAATAATAAAGAAAACTATTGAATATCTATAATATTTCTTTAAAACTATTACCTTTTGCAGCAGAGAATGCTACACCAGAATAACAGTACCTGTCCACAATGACACTGACTCCTTCTTCTAATGTCTTTATTATGCCTCTAGATTTCTCCCAACGATTTGCAGAGAAAAGCAAGTGGATAGTTTCATCTGACAAGTCATTCTGTAATATAATTTGTGTAAAAAGAATTAATTATTTTAACACGTAACTGCAAGGCTTTCCGAGTTGTGATAACATTATTAGTTTCTTATATTAATTTTATTTAATTAAAACTCATGTGTCACACACCTGTATCATGGAGGAAGTTAACAAACATAAATTGCACAAGGACAAACATCTAGACCCGGAACAATTATTTGTAGGCCATACAAATACTTTGTTGTTGTTGTAAAAAAAGTTACCCTCACACTAGGATTTTCTCCTGTATCGTGGAGGAAGTTAACAAACATAAATTGCACAAGGACAAACATCTAGACCCATAACAATTATTTGTAGGCCATACAACAAAGTATTTGTACAACAAAGTATTTGTATGGCCTACAAATAATTGTTCCGGGTCTAGATGTTTGTCCTTGTGCAATTTATGTTTGTTAACTTCCTCCACGATACAGGAGAAAATCCTAGTGTGAGGTTAAATTTTTTTTTTGTTTGAGAATCAGCACTCTTTCCAAATGATCCTACATCTATGCATGTAAAGTTATAATTTGAGACTGCTACATCTCCGGCGCTGCGGGAAGAGCAGCCTCTACGCCTTAGCGTAACAAATCGCAGGCATCCCTCCTCGCCTCCGCAGCTTCAGCTTGTTGGTCACCTTCGGCGACCAGCCTCAGCCGCTCTGGCTCGTCCGATGTCTACGATTTGTTACAGCAGGCGAAGACTGCTCCCCCTACGCGCCTCCGGCTCTTTAAAACCACTCTAGGGGTAGGACAGACTCGTATCAGGTGGAGTCGGGGTCAATCAATTCGGTTCTTTGACGTAAGTTGAACCTAACCTATTTTATTTGTTATCTGCCCTAATTGGTATTGTTAAAATAAAACAAATTTCAATAAGAGATCATTTATTATTTTAGTTTAGAAATTGATTTTTTGTGAATCGATACATCAGCTTACGATTTGAATCGATTTAAAAATCAACCTTTTTCGGAAAGAATTGACATCCCTACTGACGACAATGACATTACAAAATGGGGTCAGTTTTATGGTAGGATTAGATATAAACAATGCAAGAATAATTGATTTTCAATAACTTTTTTCTCAAAAATTACATGTTTCCGCATGTTGTAACTTTGTGTGTGCTTATAATAGTGTAACTTTTCTGTGAAAGTACGTATCAACCCCCAACTCGACGGGAGTAAATGGAAAGCTAAGCTAGATATGGTATATAGAAGATAGAAGTATGAAAGATTTGACTTCAGAATATGAAATTATTTAATTCTAATTTCTTTCAAGTCGGCTTTTACTTCTTATTAAAAATTAATTTCTTTATGATATTATAATTGGACTAAGAATATATCAATATTAATGTCGTCTAAATAGTGACATCATAAACATCATCATCATCATCAGTTCACATTTGATTATTATTGCTAAACATACATAAAATAAGGACAACACATGGTCGAAAAGTAAACCACGTCCTTTATTCGAAAGAGGCTAAAAGAAATCACTACGCTTGAAAGAAATTTATGATAATTTTATCTCACCTTTGATGTCAAGTAACTATTAATAACTTTACCAATATCAGTGCTCCTATCTGGAAAGTTCGTGTATTCAGCTTGTATTTGTTTATTCTTTAAGCTTTCAACTATAAAACAAAATGAAAATTAAACAAAATGCATAATAAATTGTAATTAATTAGCAAGAGAAATTTTTTAATACCTAAGCGTTTACTTTGTGTTGATTTACCAGTTCTATCAACACCCTCGATAACTATTAAAGCTCCTCGTTTAAGTGTCATCATAAACCTTAATAATTATGACTGTAAAAACAAATATATAACTGCGGTATTTACAGGTTTGGAATAAAAACAATTTTGATTTTTGACAATACGTTTGACTTTAATTTTTTTGGCGGCAACAGCATTGTCAATATCAGATTTTTATTAAGATTTTTAATTTGGATGCTTGTCTTTTAAGTCATATCTTCATTTATCTCAGTATCAAGTAATAATAATCCTTTAAAGTCACTGCCCTCTATATATACAAGTATGCGGGACTGGCTATGCCTTAAAAATGCTTATGCCGATTTGAAGCGCTCCCATTGTCTGTACCGGGCACTGACTTAGAAGTATATGGATTGGGCTTACCTACAGATTTAGCGTGACTACCTATCTGGCGCATAAAATGGCCGCCTTTTATAGTATAGGGCTTGCTACATATATATTTATCTATGGTATAGGGTTTTAACCATGAAGTTATAGATAAAGATGGAGGCCAAACTTGGAACAACAGCTTGAGTCAAATACCTTGTGGCGCGACGACAGCGCTGCCACCTACGTATCTTTATCTCACTCTCTGTGGTCTGACTTCTCTTTTTAGTGTGGAACACAATATTGCTATGTTTTTATTTGAATCTCCCGGTAAATTCTTAGAAATAATTTCCACACTAACTAAATCAGAAGTTAAGCTCTGTAAAATAATGTACCAATAAATAAATAGTTGATCTACGATTAGTTACATTAAAAATTCCAAAATTGAAGGTCTCGTATTTATTATTGGGTTAACGAATCAGTGAATTACAATCCCATTTCCTAAGGGTTCGGTAATGTGGCAACATTAGCCCTATATGTCAACATAAATTAGACAAATATGGCGGTTGTTTACTTAGCAGTTCACAGCGTCGTTTGAGATATTTAAAGTTAATTATTGTTATAATTCAAGAAATGGTGCAAACTTGTGTAGTACGTGGTTGCGGCAGTAGTTGGTGTCCAGGAGGTGATATAAGATTTCACACGTAAGTGTTTAAATAGTGACTTCTGGCATTGACTACTTGTAAACATACTCTTTTGTATTTTCACATGGAATGGACCTAGAAAAAAGGGCGGACGTCATGTCTTAAAACAATTACTGACGCACCCATACTAAGTCAGCTCGCTAATACAAACAAGCCGGCATGCATACATACACACCATAGTAAGTCTACCGCCCGCCATTACGCTCCAAACCGCGTCCGCGTAATATTGTATTGAAAACCTGTCGAAATCATAGTGGTTACATTAAAAAATGCCAGGGGATCACTTTTCATAGGTAAGTAAGTAATTAATTCACCCTATTTCTCGTTTTTACTTTAATTTATTTCAAACTTTATTATCAAAACATTTTATTAACAAACAAAAATTATTATCAAAACACGAAACTAATCAGTGTTGCCACTTATTAAATTTGCAAGTTACCTTAAATATGGGAGATTAATATCTTATTGTTCACTTTGAATTGTTCCTTAATTCATTAATCTACCTCTGTAAATACTTTTGGCGTCACATGATATTAAACTACCAATATTATAAATTTTACATTTTATTAATTTCCCTCTGCAAATGATGTGTGGAAGAATGACTGGGTGCAAATAATAAGACTGTAGAAATGAAAACAATTGGAATCCATCGAAATCTAGTGTAATCTGCAGTAAACATTTCGAGGAAAATGATTTATAGACAACAAAAGGTTGGGATGGTTCTTCGCGTTCTTACTTACGCCATCCCAAAAAAGATAAAGAACAATAAATATCCTTTCCTATTTTTTCCTCTTACAATTGTAAGCTTAACATATTAAAACGTAATTAATTTTTTAGTTTTTATTCGAGACGTCAAGCGTTCCAGAGTAACAACTCGCTGAAGCAAATACTTCCAGTGCTTCGCATGGGGTACGTACTAATAAAGTATCATTAAAGAAAAACCTGTTAGGGTGAGAATGGTTTTTTAATCGACTTGAGAAAAAGGAGGTTTTCAAGTCGACTGAATGTTTTTTCTTTAAGTTACACCGACAATCTCGAACCGTTTTCGATGATTCCTTTTTAGTTGAATAGGTTATACTACAATGTTATTCACCGATATGTATTTCTTTTCTTTTAGAAAAGAAACTTTAAAAAAAAAACTTTTTTTTAAAGTTTGTATTAAATAAACTTAAAAGAACTCTTTTGTTGTACTTGCGAGATTGTGATCCGAAAGCATTTAGAGATAATATAACTATATATACTGAAAGACAACATCAGTACATGCTAACCAAAATTCTAGGAAAAATTTATAGCTAACAACAGGATTTCTTTAATTTAGAATTTGACCATGCATTTGCTGGAGTAGAACATAAAATAGCTTTAATTAAATATATAGCTAAAAAATATCTGAATATTCGTTTTCACCATATAGCTAAAGTGGAGGGGATTTCTAAATCTTTTGACAGTAAAAGACAATATTATAAAAAATTAACTAAACAAAAGGATCTCTAAAAACCGTTTATAAATGTAAATTAAATATAATATTAATAAATGTAGATATTTTTATATTCAATGTGTTTTATTAAACTTAAAGTCCTGGTTCCGAGGACGGTGACGAATGTCTTAAACCTAATTGAATTATTTTGCTTATAAAAATGGGTAATTTTCCACCATCTGGCAACCCTCTACACGCTCACACATAGTTACGCGGTCGTCACTGCGACGCTTCAATTGTTTCTTAGCGAGACTCTGTCCGCCCTTTTTTCTAGGTCCATGTATTTTCACTTAATTTTTTGATGAAACGTTTTATCAGTGTTTTAAACATATTAGTAAATTATAACTTTGTCAAGATCAAATAGTTTTACATTGAATTTAATTAAGTTTGAACAATTTAATTGTTTTTGTTTAAAAGAAATCGCACTGAAGTAGTGTGACCATGTTGACGATGTATCTGAGACTTTCCGTGTGACCTTAACTAATTATATGTACATGTTTCTTATTATGTTACCGGAAATGCATGAAATTTAGGAATTATGTACACTTCTATATATTTTATATAATGACGGATTTCATAGATTTCATAATATTAAATTAAAAATTAGTAATTAGTAACATAATATATTCTTTTGGTAGACAATTTGTTTTTATTTAGTTTTTGTTTCTCATTATTCTGATACTTTAATATCGTTTACAATAATTATGTATTTAGAAATAGTAGCTTAAATGTATGATATAAAGCAACATTTTGTAAAATATGTTATTATTTGCAGACATCAAGTACATTACATGAAGAGTCTATTGTGCAAATAGCTGCTCTGGCTGTACTAAGCACTAGTTCTGGCATTTATGAAAGTAGTTCTGCACTTAAGGAAACAGAAGTGAAATGTACTGGCTGTAATATTGAAGACCAAACTAGTAAATAACAATGTCGAAAAATTCTTGAAAATTTATGCAATCTCAACAAATTACCTGTAAGTTTCCTTTTCCTTTATAACTAAATACATACCTTTTATTTGTATTTATTATGACTTTAATGTTACATTACTTAATGTATTATATAGCTTAAAACACATACATATTTAAACTCTTTAGTGCCAATCGCAGTGTGGTAACCGTCACTACGACACTAAGCATAAATCTTCTTGTTTGATGCTTCATTTATGCGTGCTCATGAAGGCGCGCTCCGGTGTATTATGTATTACCTATTAAGTGATGTAAATTTGTACTGACATTATGATGTAGAAGAGTTATTTGTTTCTTTTTTTGTTTGAGTTCTCTAATCTCTGGAACTATACCAGTCTGATTTGAAAATATTTTTTTGCACTTTTAAAACCAATTCTTCAGGAAGGCTATCTAACATCACGCTACGACCCTTATGAGCGGAGCAATACGATGTACGATGCTAAAAATACTGATTTCATAAAGTTTTCTTGTTTTCTTAGTTCAGCAGTGAATACGAAGATCCCGCGAAGATTGATAGGGGCGTGCTAGTGAAAATAAAGTGTACTAAAGAATAAATACTTGAGACGAGAACTAAGATTCTTAAGCAAAAAGTGGCGCGCCAAAATAAAAAATTCAGGATAGGTCTTCTTTAATGGACACTATTAAAAAGTATACGGGTCAGTCAGAAATTGAAAATATTATTCAAGGGCGCTTTGCTCATATCTGTAAGGACTTCAAAAAGCTACAGAGTAATCCACATGGTGTGAAAAATTTCAATAAATAATTTTAATATGGAATGTGTTTTTATTTTTTTTAAGGTTTTTAAAAAACCATGTAGTGGCGGTGTGAGAATATCCACTACCCCATACTGTTCCGAGGGTATTGTAAGAGGTGTCAGAGGGAAAATGAAACAGGAGATGGGCAGCGGCATCTTCCTGCTAACAACTCAAAATAATAATATGTTATCGTTCCTATTATAGTACATATGTTACTAGAAATCTAAGGAATCCGTTATTATATAAAATTCCTAGGAATTGTAGATAATTCTTAAAATGAACTGGATGTGTGGAATATAGTATTATACACATTTCAGCTCAGCCGGGCTATTCACAATCGTCTCGGAAAGCGAATTCGACTCGGATTCGATAACTTCTCGCACCGAAACCAATAAACGCTATTCACATTTAACGTTCGGATAAAGGTCACTTAGATACATCCCATAACTATTGTATCGTCATTTAGTTACATGCATTTACGAATTTTGTAGATAAATAGGCTTTTGTATTTTTTTTAGGTAGTAACGCCTAAACAAAAACATAATGCAATATTTTGGTGTTAGCCATTGATATCGAATATAAAAAATATATAATTTAACTATATAATAAATAACAAAAAAACTGAGATATGTCTATAACTTCATGGTTGTAACCACAGACTAATATGATACTAACGTATGCTGTATAGTGCCACCAATTTATCTGTGAACTGACAGCTTGGCGCTTCTGCGCTGAAGTGTTGCCAGTTCGGGAATATTCCCATCTAAGGGTCTTATATTCCTACATAGAGTCCACATACTAGGGTAAT